CAAGAAATAGCTTTGCCCGGCTATATGTGGTCAGTGGTCCCTAACCGACATAATTGAAGCTTAACATTTTTTTGACAAAGTGGAAAGATCAGCTACACATTTTACACTAGAGATGGCCGAATCGATCCACATTAGACCAAATCAAAATGGTCGGTTTCGGACATTGAATCGAGAACTAGCCCTTCTTTGAACCCCATTTTTCCTATTAAAATGTATTTTTGAACGGTGATTTGCCGCATTTCAACTACACATTTTTCAGTAAAATAATATTACGTGCAAATTCAATAATTTTCCTTACTTTTTAATCGTACCTTATTTGCAAAGTGCATTGTACCTTTAGTTTAACTGTAATGTATTGCACATTTTTAATCGTAGTGTATTGTATTATTGTATAAAATGTTATTTATATTTTATTAAGTTAATTAATCATTTTCCTTCAATTAGCACCATTATACTATATATTATTTATAGTTTGAAAATATATTTATTTTGTTAAGCTATTAAAAACTACATTTGATACTATAATTTGTATAAATTATTAAATAATTTTTAGATTTATTAAAATTTTTAAATAATATTAAAATAAGAATACTTTTTTTTTTAAAACATTTTTTCTTTATGTCTAAACCTCACTTAGGCTCGTCCAGCCCGAAGCTTAACTTCCATGCTTCGTCACATATTACGTTTTTTGGAACATTGTATTTTATCGTTCTCGGCCATTGGATGGACCAAATTTGAAAGACAATGCATTGTGAAATACGCGCCAAACAAAGATATGAATTTTAGGCGAAACTTATACTTTCCACAGCCGTTTGATCCCACATTTTGCATTCTTTCATTAAGCAAGAGTTTATATCCAGACTTCACTGTGTGCACACATTATTTTGAGCTTACTGAATTAGACGAATTTTAGAATTTTCATTAAAATACTAAGTGCATAGAAGACTTCAGGCCATTACATAGGAACATTAAATTTGAAGAAAGAATATTTCCCAAACTTTTATTAGTACTATTTCTTAATATATTAACTAGAGCTAGGTAGTAGTACCATGACAACCTATCACTTTATTTCAATAGCTCACTAAGAACTTGTGATTGTGCCTTCTTCAATTATTTAACTTCAAAAGTTTGACCAATT